AATTTCTTTTTATTTCTTGAAGTATTCTAGTCCATCATATCCTTAGTCAATAAATCTATGGAGTTCTACACCAGTTTTTATTCTTGTTTGGAGAGTCTTTGATATAAATTATGTACTCGACCATTAATTTGATTAACCTATGAAGACAAGTTTTCTATTGTGGTTGTTAGATGACTAAGTTGAGAATCTATCTTGTAAAGAACTTTGTTTTAGTTGACAGCATTTTGAGACTATTAGTTGGGAACTTCTTCTGCTAGTATAACCAACTTGAGAGTACCTTAAAGGGATACTTTTTTTTTATAGATCAAAAGGTCTACTAATTATCTTTGTCCTATCATCTTTTTTCCTTTTAAGAGGAGGAAATTCTTCCCTATAAGGCCTTATCATAGTGATGCAAGACAAAGTTTGTACTGTCATAGGTAGGATTGTTAGAATTATTAGTTCTGGCATTTATGGAATAGTTAGTATCACTGGATCTAGCATTTTAGGGGGAGAAAGTCTTCATGGCCAAGTTCTTTAAGGAGCTCAAAAGGAGTACTCCTTTCTATGAGAGGATTTAAGGGTCTTACCCATTTTCGTTTTATAGATTGCTTAGGGCCATGGTCATCATCATTATCCTTTGGAGGTTGCTTATGTCTACATGGAAATTTAGGATTCTTGGGCTTCCTAGTCTTTTTCCTTCTTTTGAAAACTGTAATCATTGTTATTAAAATCATTCTAAAGATAACAATCATAAGTGAGATCACATATTTCTAGGGCACAATCCTAAATAAAGTGACCATTGATATGCGAAACATAAACAAGCTGCATCAAACCACTTAATCGGAGGGTGTTCTTTGTCTATAGTAAAAGCTAGGGAAATGGACATAATCTTAATAGAGATTTAGTTTGGATTCTAGGTTCTAGGCTTCTTAAAGACATATTTAACAGTACCATCCTGCATCCTGTAAATGATAGGAGGTTCTATAGTCTGAATATGTCTTTGAATACTATGGAACTATTTTTCATAATTGTTAATCCATTCTAGAGGCATCAGATCTACTAGTTATTTAGTAGATAGCTATCTTGGGATCTACAAAATTAATGGATTCTTTGAATTTCTAGCATCCATAAACAAAGCATCACCAATTGCATTCAAAAGACCTAGATCAAATGAATGATCTTGAAGTCTAAAGATCATCTGGTAGTGAAGGGTTGCCATGATGGCATCAGGTTTCTCTTCAACTCTATGGATTTGGATATGAACTTTCAATCTCTTTAAAAGAGTTTTGTCAGTGAGTTTGATATTGAAGTCAGGGGCTATGGTAAGGACTAAACTTCCTTGGTTAAGGGTAATCAACATGGCTCTAATGAAAATGTTGCCATATGACTTAAAGGTAATATCTAGCAAAGCAACCTTGGCTATAGCTATCATACCCTTTCTTCTATGAAAGGTAAGGATAAGGCAAATAGCTCTGACATGAAGATGGGTTAAACCTAGTTGATCTAGCCATCAATCAAGGGTTGGGCTATCTCAAGGGTGATGTATTGTTCAGTTGTGTTAGTAGGAATACCACATTAATCAAGGCTAAAAGTCTAGATTATTTCTTTTGGTTGAGGACGGTTTGAGTGAATCAAGGTCCTAATACCTTAAGTAAAAGAGTGTTCTGCTAGTATAGTTTGTAAAGGTTAAGAAAAGAGAGTTGGGTAGCTGAGATACAGGCATCTGCAGGGACAACAATGTATTCTATAAGGTTTTCTATTTTCTTAGCAAGGATTCTTTTTTCAGTGGAAGGAAGACGATTAAAGGAAAAGGTTGAAGAAAGATTTACAGGAACAAGAACTGTAGTAGGGTTTTCTGAATAAGAGCTTTTTAAAAATTCACTCATGTTTTCTAAAGTTCTCCTTACCTACTTTCATCAATAATATCTAACATCTGTCGATAATGGATATAATAGATAATTACTAAGAAGAATGTGAAAAATTATTTAAATTTGCCTTGTTGTTATGAGGTAGAGAATAATTAGAAGTTAACTAGATCAATTACATTTGAAATCCTTGTAATTATTTTGTATTATAAAAGTTATTAGTATTCATTTAAAATTTAAAATTGTTCAAAATGACTATTAAAAAATTTATATTGTTAAAATTAATTTTTTAATTGATTTTTTGAAGATAATTGAAAAATTGTAGATGAAATTTATTTTTAATAAAGAAAGGGGAAACATTTAACTTGAGAGAAGATAAAATTTAATCATTTATTTAATAATTTTTGCAAAAAAATATGGAGAAAATAAAATTAAAAGACATTCCCTCTAGTCTTTATTATAAAACATTTTTAACTATTTTATGTATTTTAAGAAAATTTAATTTTTTTATATCATAAAAAGTGATATGTACTTTTATTTTTATCCTTAACTTTAAATAATAATTCAATTACATTAAATTCCTTTATGATAATAAAAAAGGGGTAAAATTTAAAAAAAAGTTTAATTATTGCATGTTGTCCTATATTTTGGACCAAAAATTATTCTAGAATGTGTCTTATAAATATAAACAAATATACAAATAAATTTAAAAATTGCTTAAAATGTTTATAATAAAATTATTTAATATTTAAAATTTGCTTCATTTTAATTTCATTTCCTAACAAAAATAATATTTTTTGGTAATAACTATTTTATTAAAAAATATAATATATATAGTCAAATCTTAACTTTGGCATATTTTGTAATGATTATGTAACGTGGAGGGAGGAGGCATACGTATGACAGTGTGATGTGCAGTATAGTGTCTAGTGATGTGGAGAGATGAAGAGGCACATGCATGGTAGAGTGGCATGGAGTGTGGTATTTGGTGGCATGGAGTGAGGAGGTGCACGCATAGGAGGTGACATGCAACCATTCATTAATTTTATAATTTTAAAAAATATCATTTAATAAAATAATATAAATGGTGGAGAAGGGGAAGTGGAGGGAAAAGGAGATCAAGAAAGGGAGAGGTCCCTCTCTTGACATGGAGTATGGTATCTAGTGAAGTGAAGTGAGGAAATGCATGCGTGGCGGGGTGATGTTAAGCGAGGTGTGTGGTGACATGGAGTGAGGAGGCACATGCATGGCATGAGATGATTTTGTTTTTTGTTTTTGTAAAAAATTTGGCAGTGACTATGTTTGTCGTCACTAAAAACTATTAACGACAAGACTTTAGTTGTGAAAAGTCATTTTGTTTTATAATGTAATCATAATTTCTATTATTGTCTGTTTTATTAAGTGATATGGCATAATTGAAATTCGTGTGGTCTACTGAGCAACCACCCCAACATAAAGAAATTGGTGATTTTGTTTTTGAAAACATTCATGGAGACATCTTATATCTCTATATTTCTTATTGCCTTTTGGACTCCAGAAATATTTTGACATCAACCTATATTTGTCCAAGATGTGTTTTTTAAAAAGGGTTAAAGGGCATTGTGCCCCTCAACTATCTGCTCACAAGTATCTGGTTTCCTAAATTTACATGTAGTATAATTTTTTGCTTCAATATTTAAAAATAATGTATTGAAAACCCTGTTATTAACAAAATTAACTTTAAAACTAAAAAAAATTACAAAAAATAATTAAGAAAATGCCCATCAAATTACAAAGGAAAAATTAATTTTCTAGTCCTTATAGTTCTGTGAGATTGTAAATCAAGTCCTCCTAATTTTCTTTTCTTTTTATTAATGGGTTAGAATTTCTAACGAAATATTTTTGAGATAGCATTAAGCATAACCCAAGTGCTTGTAGGTTCATCCTTAGTGCTTATCATGAGGCGCTCATCATAGTGATGAAATTTGGACTATCTAAAGTTTAATTTGGATAATCTAAATTTAAAATATTATTTTATATTTATTAAAATAAAAATTATAAAAATTTAAAAAAAATCTTTTATAATCAAGATGATCTAAATTTAATTTGAAAGATTTAATTTAATATTAAAATTTTTATAATTTTATATATTGACTATTCATATATCTCTGCATATTATAGGTTTAAAATTTTAAATTGTAATTTTTTTAAAGAATATATTTTCAAAAAAGTTTCAGTTTTATATATTTTAATTTTTGGTATTGTATTTTCAAAATAAAAATTTATAAAATTTTAATATTAAATCTAAACTATACAAAGTATATCTAGATAATCAATATATAAAAATTATAAAAATTTTAATATTAAATTGATCCTCCAAATTAAATTCAAATTAGATTGATGATATTTTATAAATTTTTACTAAATATAAAATAATATTTTAAATTTGGATTAAGGTGATGAGTAATGAAGATGAAATAGTATGTGCCTCTCTTTTGGATTTTTGGTCTGTCTTTGTGGTCCTCGTCTTATCAATCTTAAAAATCACTGGGAATTAGATATAAGAATAAGGGTCGGGCTTAACGGGCCACTCATTTAAACCCATTTTTATTAGGGATTTGGATTAAAAAATTGACTACTTTTAGAGAAACTGAGCTTCAAAGCCCGACTCTAACAAGGTTCAAAAACACGAGCTCGGGCTCAAGTGACCCGTTGCCTAGTTCTCTCTCTCTCTCTCTCTCTCTCTATTTGTTTTTTGGGTCTAAAATGCACCGTTTGCTTGTGAAGAAAACCCTAACCTATGTCACGCTCATTCTCACTTAACTCACGCACACACGACAGCTCTTGCCTCACGCCTCTCTTCTTCCTTTGGCTAGCTCGATCTCTCCTTCTCGACTCACGATTGCAATCTTGCCTCTCAACTCTCCTCCCCTTCTCTATCACTCTTGCACGATGGACTGTCCATGGATTGCTCATAATTCAAGTGCCATATCTCACGCATGGACTGCTTGCGACGGCAAGTTGCTTTAGGTGCTCGCTCTCTGACTCACAATGCTCGCAATTCAAGTCTTTGGTTCTTCCTTCAAGTACCTCTATCTCTAATTCAGGTTTATCTCTCTTTCATCTCACGCACAAGTTTATGGGATAGCTCTAATGAAGACTAAGGAGAAGGTGCAACAACTCAAGTCTTAGAGTAAGTAATGATTTTTACTGATGCAGATGATAATGGCAAGGAGTTTAATGGCTAATTGTACAGGGATATATCTTTTTGTTGGTGAATTAGGAGACAAATTATTTCCAATAATCTCTGTTCTGTCATCCTTTCTGATTATCTTTCCTTCTGTAAATGCAAGTTGTTTGGTTGGCGGCTTTGAATTTATCTTACTAAGTTATGCATTTAGTTCTTAAAACATGCTTTGTTACTTAATTAGGCTATTTTCTTTTCATTTTTTTAATTAAACAAACTTAACAAAGGTTGACACTGTAGAGTGGCCAGTCTCAACATAGGTTATTAAATTATAGCTCTGATATTAACAAGGATAAAGTAACAAAATCTTGCAAATATTTTATATCATGTATATAGACTAGATATTGTACTCTAATCATTTACATAGTAGATAATAATTTTAAAATTAATCCAAATTTCTAAATATGTGGTTTTTATTTTCTAAAATATTATAGGGATTTTGATTTGCAATGCTTAATTTGAATTTTAAAATATTCTAATTAATATGTAATCCTTAATTTAATTTTAAATATTTTTTTAAAATAGGGCATAAGGGCCTGGCCCTAAGCCTTTTGAATAAGATTTGGGCCTCAAAAAAGGAGACAAAAAATAAGAAATCAGATTTAAGAGCTCAACCCCATAAGGACTGGGCTCATATGAGTCAGGCTTGCTCGTTTAATTTACCAACTCTATTAAAAATCTTGTGAGGATGTCTCCATTCCAAACCCTGGCCCCAACCAAAAAAAAAAAAAACAACACATGGTTGAGCACAAAGGACTAAAAAATCTTCTTGTGCATTATCATTCACCAATGCTTTTTATAAATAGTACTCCCTCTGTTGCGTGTGTAAGGGAAAAAAATCTAATTCAATATTTAAGAAAACTGGTCAGGTACATATTACAGTTGTAATTAATTAAATAAGTTTGTCTGATCTCTCAAAAATAAATTTTGATTAGGCGCATCTACAGTTTGAAAAAATATGATAAATTCTTTTTAAATTTTGTAGTTTTAGTTATTAACAGAAAAAGAAAGCATATAGCAGTTTTAGTCATAAAAAAAAAAACAAATAAAGCCCAATGATTTTTTATGATACAAAAAATGTTCAGGTGAATTCATAATTCACTAAAATAAGAGCATGCCTTTAGACTGAGAGAAATACTTATAAATTACCCACCTTAGCCATGATTTTGAACTTAATATGGTTTTCTAGTCAGGAAAATGCCTCGTGTGGTGGCATTTCCTTCACTTCATCCTCTATATCTAATTATTATCTCTATCACTCTATGCATCTATACAGCATCACCATGGCAGCAGCAGAAAAGTCTCAACCCTCTGATCTTCTGGTTCTTCCCAAGTACCTCCATGAAGACGAAGAGCTATCCCAAGAATGCAAGGATCTCATTGCTACCTTACCCTCTGAATCGGATTGGATTAACATCAAGCTCCATCAATACAATGGCTTCTGGTTCACCGAAAGGCATTTGCAAGGATTTCTCAATTGTCGAAACCACTTTCAAGATCATGATTCTGACATCCTCCTCGTCACCTCACCAAAATCAGGCACAATTTGGCTCAAAGCTCTCACATCTGCGATTCTCAATCGCAAGATCTATGACCCAAACCAACACAAAGATCCGACCAGAACTTGTCTCCTTCACCCTCTCCTTACTACTAACCCTCATGATCTTGTACCTTTCTTAGATGTCAATCTCTACTACGAAGAAGCCATGCCTGATTTTAGCTCGTTCCCATCACCAAGGCTCCTTTCAAGCCATCTCCCATACGCTTTGTTCCCAGAATCTGTGAAGCGATCAAAATGCAAGATTGTTTACTTGTGTAGGAACCCTAAAGACTTGTTTGTCTCGATGTGGCAATTTGCAAACAAGTTAAGACCAGAAACCCGAGGATCGATTTCAATTGAGGACTCATTCGACAAGTTTTGTCGGGGAATGAATATTTTTGGACCGTTTTGGGGTCACATGTTGGGATACCACAAGGAGAGTCTAGACAAGCCGGAGAAAATAATGTTTTTGAGGTTGGAGGAGCTGAAGGGTGAACCAGTCAAAGTTTTGAAAGAACTTGCTGAGTTTATAGGATCTGGTTTTTCTGAGGAGGAAGAGAGTGATAATGTTGTGGAAAATATATTGATGCTTTGTAGTTTTGAGAATTTGAGTGATTTGGAAGTGAATAAGAGTGGAAAAGTGAGGTTTGGGATAGAGAATAAGGCTTTCTTTAGGCGTGGTGAAATTGGTGTTTGGAAGAATTTTCTTACATCTGACATGATCGAACATCTTGATGTTATTATTCATGAGAAGCTGGGGAAACATGGATTGAAGTTTTAGATCCTCGTACGTTCTCTAGAACATCTAGTCTAATAATAGCCAAGATGTTGAGGTAAAATTTTCCACGTGCAGTGTTTGTCTCTTATTGAAATTTTTAATGTTTCTCGAGTAAGAGGCCATCATTTTTTTTTTCAACAATATTTGTCTTACTATATCCTTTGTGTAAAATGATTTTTAAGTATCTGACATTACATTATATAGCAAACGGAACTAAATTAAGAATTGGGACATATGAAGCCATGCATGAAACAATTATGATCCTTATTAAGCTAATATATAATATGTTGTGAAATTGGGAGGAAGTGATCATGCCCAAATAAATGTTGTCACCATCGTTGCAAGGTGAGGTGAAAAGAGAGATAAATTCACCTTTGAGGACTCGCATATTGTGTGAAGTATATAAGACCCACGATTTTCTTTACATCATTCTATACTTTCACCAAATTAGTTAAGTTACTTTCGAGGATTAAAGCTAAAAATGCTGTCGAATATACTCATAGCCAACAACAATATTCGTCATTCCCCACACTCAATTTATTTTTGCATTTGCAGCATTTGTCTTTCATTATTTGATTTAGAATTATTGAGTTGAGGTTTTAGATTTTCTTCCAAAAATCCTTAAATCACCACCACCCCCGCAAGCGTGATGGATTTATAGTCCTGGTCTTTGATTATCGCTCCACGTGGTTTCATAAAGACAACACAGATATATATATATATATATATGATCGGCGATTCTGTACTTAATTTCGCCTTCAACATTATTGTTGCCCTTCTGTGGTCTCCATCATTCTATAATCCTATCAACAATTTCACTACCTTCATCATCTATATTTAATTCTTCTCTTTAATTATATCAGGTTGAGTCGGAGATCTGATCTTATAGCCTATTTACTTGCTGAATTTGGTGGGTCGGGATAGAAAAATAACCATGTTATTTATGATGGGTTGGGTTAGCCCACATCACGAAGCAGACGAGCTCTGGCTGGCTCATGAGTTACACGGATTGGCTGTTTTTTTAATTAATTGTTTTCATTTCTGTGCTATCCACTCACACAAGTTAGACGTAAAGCACACGACAACATTTGTTTGCTTTAAAAAACAGTTTTATTTACAACAATTGAAAATGTATCATCTAATGTGAATATTAGCAACAGTTTTTGCATGTTTACTATTACAAAAAAAAGTTTTTAATGTCACTTTTTTAGAATATTTCACATCACTATCGTAGGGAATATAGATCAAAGTGATTTAAAAAGTTATTTTATCCACGTTACTTTTATGAGAAACATGGATAAGATACATCATGTTACTTATTAGAAAGAGAGAGGTGGTTTCTTTAAAAGCGATGTTAAGTTTTGTTAGGAAGAGAGATAGTTCTTTACACTTAAAAGTGACTTGGTTCCTCAAGATGCCAACACTTGTAAAGAAATAGACACTACCATACTCATATTTGCCGCTTATTTTTCACAATACTTGACGGTTTTTAACCGTCAAGTAAGGGTGCGACATATATTAAAAAAATAATACTTGACGGTTAAAAACTGTCAAGTATTAATCTTATACTTAATGGTTATTTGAAAAAAACTGTTAAGTATATGAACTAAATATGCTCTTTCTTAAATAAATACTTGACGCTTGTTTTTAAACAAGTGTCAAGTGTTTATAATTACTTGACAGTTATAAGAAAACAAGCGTCAAGTATTTATGGCCAAAACCTGACAGTTTTTTTGGTCATAAATACTTGACGCTTGTTTCATTATAACTGTCAAGTATTTACAAATACTTGATCCTTGTTTTGAAACAAGCGTCAATTATATTTATACTTGACGGTTATTTTGAAATAACCGTCAAGTATTTATGACATAATTTTTTTTAAATATGGTGGCTGCTTTTAAAGCAGCCCCCCTGAATAAAGATGCAGATAAAGATAAAAAACAGCCAGCCAGCAACAAAAATAATACAATATAATGAATGTTTGTAATAGTATCTCCTATCTAATTAACATAAAAATTCCTATACATTTAACATTAAAATCTAAAAATTCTATGCTTAACTTACTTGCAAACTAATGTTCCAAAACTAAATGGCCTATCCCATAAAAATTGGCCCAAAAAATGTGTATATAAATATAACTAACTATTGTACCGGCCTAACTACTGTTGCTACCCACATATTGAAAACACATTGGGCCACCTCTTCAAGGACCTCTTCTACATGTGTAACCACATAATGAACGCAATAGACATCCTTGAAGTGCTGTAAGCAAATAGTCACAACAATTTTAAGTTAATAGGTAGCTAATTAAAATTGTTTAAAATTTATAATTGAAGTGTAATTAAATTTTATATATATACGTTGTCAGATAATGTGGTAGGGGCATGAGTGATAATGTCCTTCATGAACTTCATCAAGCAATAACTACAGTCATTGCTCTGATCTGGCTGGAATGGACACTGTAAAAAAAAACACATATCAATGAAATTGTAAAATATAATGAGACAGTTTCTTGATTAAAAACTTGACCAATTAAATGAATACCTTAACAGTGACCCATTTCTCTAAAGATTCAAATGCCCTCATCTTAGGGGACACAGTCATGTCGGTCGTAGTGCGATACAACACCACAGCTTTAAGAAGGAATTATGGAATGAACATGAGAAATATATATGAAGGAAAACTAAAAATAAAAAGAAATAACAAGTAAAAAAATTCAACTTACTCATTAAAAAGTACCACCATATCTTCCCTGTTGCTTGGCTCTCTATTAAGGGGATCGAGATACCATATTTTTGGAGCAACGAGATTAACCACAATAAGCATCCAGTATCCCCTAACAAGAAACAGCACATGTTACCAAACAAATAAATATAAAAAAAATATTTACTCATAACAAATATTAACAACTCACCCTTGGCAGTAAGGAGCGAGAAATAAAATGTGTATCTGTTGACAAGGTAAGCAGTATAAGAAATAGCCTGTCTACTTGGACCGTTAGCTAACCATCTCAATTTTTTAGAAACTGAATTGGAATCAACATTTAACATTTAAAGAATGTGCTCCTTAAACCATCTTGTAAAAGTTTTATTGTGTTTCCTAGCATACCAAATTTTTGATTTATTGAGATTGTCCCTCCTAAGTTCAGCCATATGCTTGTCTACATACTCTTTAACCTCTTCAGTGTTGTGCAACACATATAGGTGGGCTTGCTCCCACTATACACTTGACATAGTAATGACTTTATTTCCCATGATCCCCTTTCCACTTATTCTACCCATATGTCGAGACTTTGGAAGCCTAACATAGCTAATATGACTCAAGTACTCAATATAAAAGTCAACAGCCTCTTCACAAATATACCGTTCAACAATACAACCCTCTAGTCGACTTTGATTTTTCACATAGCCTTTCAAAATCTTCATATAGGGCTCAATAGGATACATCCATCTTAAATAAGCAGGCCCACACATTTGAACCTCCCTAACCAAGTGAATAGTTAGGTAGATCATAATATCAAAGAATGCCAGTGGAAAATACATCTCAAGCTCATACAATGTTAATACAATTCGAGCTTGCAACCTTGACAACTTATGTGGATTAATCACTTTACTGCAAATGGACTTGAAAAACAAACATAACTTAGTGATCGTCCCTCGTACTTTAGGGGGTAAAATTGCACGTATAGCAACTGGAATGAAATCCTCCATTAAAACATGGCAATCGTGAGACTTTAAGCCCTTCAACTTCAAATCTTTCATTGATACAATATTTTTTATGTTTGAAGAGTAACCCTCAGGAACTTTAATTGCATTAAGGAACTCACAAAATGTAGTTTTCTCTTTCTTAGATAGCGTATAAGCTGCCAGAGGGAGAAAGGTACGGTTCCCCTTATCTTGGGGTATTAATTCTTCTCTTATTCCTAAAGAAACCATGTCCAACCTTGCTTTTATGCCATCTTTTATTTTTCCTGACACTTGGAGTAAAGTCCCAATAGGACTCTCACAGACATTTTTCTCAATATGCATGACATCAAGAAAATGTTGAACATCCAAGGTGGTCCAATAAGAGAGTTCAAAAAAAAATAGATCTCTTCTTCCATCTGGTTGTCCCAAGGTGCCTTGTAAATGGTTTACCAAATTCAATATCTAAATCCTTAATCTTCTCAAACAACTTATCACTAGTTAACGGCAAAGGTGTCTTACCTTCTTCTGAATTTCCATTGAACGCTTTTCTCAACCGTCAATAATGATGTTCTTGGTGTAAAAACCTACGGTGCCCGAGGTAAATTCTTCATCCCATGTTGAAGCCTCATAGAATGTGTTCCCTCTTTACAAATAGGGCATCCAAGTTGCCCTTTAATGCTATACCCTGACAGATTACCATAAGCAAGAAAGTCATTGATTGTACCAAAGAGCATAGCTCTTAAATTAAATCTTTCTTCTTTATACCCATCATATACCTCAATACCTAACTCCCACATGATCTTCAAGTCATCAATTAGAGGAGCTAAATATATGTCTATGTCATTCCCAAGTTGCTTGGGTCCTGCAATTAGCATGGACAATATCATATACTTGCGCTTCATGCAAAGCCATAGAGGAATGTTATAAATTACTAAAATGACTGGCCAAGTGCTGTGACTACTACTTTGAATCCCATGAGCATTCATCCCGTCAGTAGACAATGCAAGGCGTAGATTCCTACTCTTTTTCCCAAATTCAGGGTACTCATAATCAATCTTTCTCCATTGTGGAGAATCAGCAGGATGACGAAGCATGCCATCTTTTATCCTTTCATTTGCATGCCATGTTAAGCTTTTCGCAATTTCTGCACTACTATACATGCGTCTAAATCTAGACACAATTGAAAAATACCATAGTGCCTTCGCAGGACTTGATCCGTTCTGCTTGTAGCGTGAGGCATTACACTTCATACACTCGGTTAACGACGTATATTCATTTTAAAATAAAAGGCAATCATTAAGGCACGAGTGTATCTTT